TGTGGAGCTTACAGTCTAGTGGGGAGGCAGTGGGGAGATAGATCGGTGGTGTGCTGCACTGTTACATGTGCAGTGGAGGGACACGAGTCTCAGGGTGTGGGTGGGGAAGGGCTGCTGTTATCAGCAGCAGGGTCAGGCCAGGTCTCCTGAAGATGCTCTTTGAGGTTGTTGGAGCGAGTCACACCTGTAGACAAAGTGGCGGGGCGTGGGAGGCAAAGACCCATAGGAGCCAGCAAAATACTAGTTCTGGGTGGCGCGGTTTGCAATTGGCTGCTAGTCAGTCGACCTAGGGGTTGGCAGTTCATACCCATCTAGCGGCTGCATAGAAGAAAGGCCTGGTGACTGCTTCCAGGGAGATGGCAGAGAAGACCATCCTTGGGATCGTCTTAGTCTGAGTTGGCATGGATTCAGCCACAAAGGCTGTGTGCATGTCTCCAGTGACAGGCACGAGCCCAGATAAAGTGGCTTCGTTCCAGCTCATTTAATAGTCCAGTGCAGGTGATCCTTGGGGCAGTGTGTCCTTCCATGCAGTGACTCAGGGCCTTCCCCCACCTCCCACCTTTTCATTTACATCTCGCAGGAAGATGGGGACTGTGATTATAGAAAAGACGCAGCTTCAGCATCTTGGCCTGGAAGGGCTGTTTCTGCTGCCGGGGCGAGGCAGTACAGTGTGTGTGTGTATGCAGTCCTGCTTCCCGGAGCAATGCAGTGTGTGTGTGTGTGTGTGTATGTATGTATGTATGTATGTATGTATGTATGTATGTGTATGTGTGTGTGTATGCAGTCTTGCTGCCCAGTGCCAGCCTGCCACACAGCGAGGCAGAAGAGAGAGCATGTGGGGTCCATCTTTGGTGGGGCATGGTAGGAGTGAGCCTGGGTGTTCAGGGGTCAGTGAGGAGGCCAGCTGGTTGGAGAAGGGCAAGGGCAGAGAGAGAGGGCAGAGGTCAGAGATGATGGGGGGAGTTTGAATAAGGTGGCATAGGTCTTTGGCCTGTGGTCAGAGGGGTAGGAGCCAGGGTGTGCGAGGGGAGACAGGCACTGTAGGCACCATGTGAACAGAGTGCAGGGGCAGGTAGGGTGCGGAGCCCTGTCTCAGTGGCCCTGGCGGAGTGACTGGGGCTGGGGCCAGGCTGGGCAGTGGTGGCATCAATGACTTTGAAGGTAGAGAGAGCAGGCTTTCCTGGCTGGTTGGCTGCGGGGTGTGAATGGAAAGCAGTCCTGGCACTGCGCTCCGGTGTGCGGTGGGGACAGGGGTGTGCTCTGGGTGTGTTAGGTGCCCCATGCCTGCAGGAGCTCTGAGCGCCTCAGTTGTCATGTGTGTGTGGGGGGGCACACTTACTGGGGCTGAGAGGAGGGCTGGGAATGGCCTGAAGTGGGTGACCATCCTGACTGGGAGGTCAAGGGCACAGGGCGACTTCCTGTGGAGAGGAGCTGGTGGCAGGGTGGAGAGGCGGGTGGGTAAAAGGGTCTCTCGGGATTGTCCAGGGGATCAGAATCTGGCCCCTCTCCACAGGTAGGTCAGATTCGAGCCAGCCCTGTGCCGAGGGCCTTCTCCGGCCCAGGCTTGAAGTTGGCTTTTAGCCAGTGGCTGGCGGGTGCCCGGGGAGGCTCTGCACAGCCCTGCTGGGGGCACCCCCACCCTGGGTAAGCAACAGACTATGCTGTATCACCCAGGGAGTATCACAAAGCAGTCATACTTTATTCTCTTGGCGTTCGGAGGCTGGCAGGGCCTGGCCCGCACCCATGAAAATGCTGCCACTCAGAAGCAGTGCAGGGGCAGTTGAAGTCTCCACTCTCACTGCCTTACCCTGTCACCGCCCCACTGAGGTCGGGGGCCGGTGACCCTGGGGGGCCCCAGACAAGGCCCAGGTGTGGGAGGTGGAGCCATCTGCCAGCAGAGAGAAGGGCAGAGAACAGGGGAGCAGACGGAGAGGGGGCAACCGACGGCTGTCCCGGGTCATCAGTCCGAGGCCTCACAGGGGGCCCTGCTGGCTGCGTCTCTCCTCCAGAGTCCTGCACACCCACATGGCGACCACGGTGGCGTCCCCGTCGTTGAACTGCACGATGAACGGGTGGCCCTGTGGGAAGAGGGGCAGGCTGAGACTGTGGGCACGGGCTCCCAGGTCGCCTGCTGTACCAGGTCCGGACCTGGCCTTTCCCAGGGTGAGGGCAGGGGAGGACCGTGAGTCCATTTCACAGCCCTGGCCGCCGAGGTCCCAAGCAGAGCCCAGCACACCTGTCGCCCGCTCTTGGCAGAAGTGTTCCCTGGCCCCAGCCAGATTCTGTCAGGTCTTCTGCCGACCCTGCCTGAGGCTCCTGACAACCTGACCGTTACCTAAGTGGGGCCAGTGGCTGTCCTGCCCGACCATCCCCTCCTTCACGATGCCCACTGCGTGCTGCTGGCAGGCCTGGCCCCGCACTGGCAGCCTTCTGGTCCAGGGACTGCCCAGAGACCAAAGGAGGACCTTCAGCCTTCCTCTGTCTAAAGTGCTCCTCTAAAGAAGCCACCTTCTTGGGGGGGGGGGCGCTCTGCTCCCTGGGGGGACGGGTGGGAGGGGCTGCAGGGCCTCCAGGGAGCTCCCAGGTCAAGGGTGAAAGGAAATCAGGAAAGCTCTCCGGCTCTCCTGCCCTATCCCCACAAGTGGCTTCTCTGTTGGGGGTCTACACCTGGTGACTCCTCCCCCCCCCATGGATAAGGTGAAGCTGTAGGAGCCCCTGTGGGCCTTTGCCCATGCGCAGGGTGGGGAAGAGAACACATCTTGTGCAGGTGTGTGTGTGTGTGTGTGTGTGTGTGTGTGTGTGTTCCTACTGTCTTCCCTTGAGCCTACCCCCTCCCCTCCCCTGGGCCAGGGCGAGCACACGTTGTGGTTGCACCACACCCGGCAGGCATGTAGTCCTGGGGCACCGACTGGGAGCCTGATCTGAGACATGTCTGAGGACAGGAGGAAGGAACATCCCTGATCCCTTG